TTTTTTTTTTTTTTTTTTTTTTTTTTTTTTTTTTTTTTTTTTTTTTTTTTTTTTTTTTTTTTTTTTTTTTTTTTTGCATGGATCGAGTCAGGAATTCCTTTCCGAAAATGTGCATATCTATTCTAAAGTCTTATATATAATTGAAATGATATTATGTGATGACTTGTATAATAAATATATAGTAAAATAGTAGGGGTAAATAATTATTGTCTCAACTCATAGAAGTCTTTTATTAATGTCTTACCGAACTCTGTAGAAAAATTTTGGGTCTACTTGATGAGGTAATTAAGTTACTGAATTAAAAGCATGCATAAATAATTTTTTTTAATTATAAAATTGAAGGAAGAAAATAGAAGTTAATAATCAACAACGTCTAACAAAATGGTAGAATTTGAATAGTGATTTTCCATTTCGTTTAGGGTGGGTCTCCACACGCTAAATGAAATTTGTTAACCTACCACATAACATTAGGAACACTTTAAAAGTATTCTTTTAAGTTCGAGTTCATGGCAATTAATATTGTATACTTTAAACATAAACTCCACTCTAATAATTTTACTTTCAGTTTTTTCAAAAAAGGATAGCAATTCATGGGCGAACCTGAATCGTGAGAGCTGTATTTTGTGAATATATTTTGTGAATTATTAGAGTTAGATTTAGAGAATTTATTACCCAATCTATATTATAAACATGACTCCAAATATCTCCATAATATATGATATTGTTCAAATTGGATATATGTCAACCGGAATAAGTTTTTTGTTTCACCTAAAAGATTTCATATTACCAATTATAGTCGTTCTTAGTTAATATACCAATAACCCGTTAATATTATAGTCATTTTTTTGTATTATCGAGACAGTTATTAACTGCTGCAAGACATTTTCCAGAGGTTTAACAACCCGTTTACATGATGATCAAACACGACACTACACTCCTTACTCCTCTTATCACGGCTTCTCCAGAAAACAATTCTAACAATTATCAAAAGTGATCCCTTTCACCGCCATATTCCTTCTTCCTCACAAAAGTAATTGTAAGAAATTGTCACGTTCTCCAAATGGTAGGAGAAATCTAAAAATTTATCTGATAGTAGACAGATTTTGAAGAGAAATCTAGAAGAGAAGAGAAAAAAAAAAAAAAAAAAAAAAAAAAAAAAAAAAAAAAAAAAAAAAAAAAAAAAAAAAAAAAAAAAAAAAAAAAAA